CTCTGTTGCCCAGGTTCAAGTACAGTGGTGATCTCGGCTCACCACAACCTTAACCTCCCAGGCTCAAGTAATCCTCCCACCTCAGCCTCCCAAGTAGCTGGGACTACAGGCACTCACCACCACTCCTGGCTAACGTTTTGATTTTTTGTAGAGATGGAGTCTCACCAAGTTGCCCAGGCTCGTCTCAAACTTTGACCTCAAGTGATCCTCCCACCTCAGCCTCCTAAAGTACTGGGTTTGCAGGTGTGAGCCACCATGCCTGGCCAAGTCCAGTGACTCTTGTATTGCTGTGTGGCAGGCAGGGAACTGTCTCAACCCAGGCAGGAATGAGAGAGTGCAATACCTAAGAAGGATGTGGCCAAAAAACCTGAAATCTGGGGGTGTGAGCCCATCTTGGCTGTCAGACACTGTGTAGCCTTAGGTGAGTCCCTCGACCTCCTGAGGCCTCAGACTTCCTGCCTAAAAAATGCCCCCTCCTGGGGTGGTCATGAGGCTCAGAGGAGTCGAGCCAACTTGGAAAATCAGGAGGATGTTCTGTACAAGTAAAGCACAGATTTCAGTTTCCAGGCCAGGCGTGGTGGCTCGTGCCTGTAATCCCAGCACTTTGGGAGGCTGAGGTGGGCAGATAACTTTGAGGTCAGGAGTTCCAGACCAACCTGGCCAACATGGTGAAAGCCCTGTCTCTACTAAAAATACAAAAAAAAAATTAGTTGGGCATGGTGGTGCACGCCTGTAATCCCAGCCACTCAGGAGGCTGAGGCAGGAAAATCGCTTGAACCCAGGAGGTGGAGGCTACAGTGAGCTGAGATCATGCCACTGCACTCCAGCCTGGGCAAGATAGTGACACTCTGTCTCAAAAAAAAAATTTAAAAAAATTTACAGTTTCTCATATTGGATTCCTGAAGTGGGGCATCCCCACGGCCCTGCTTTTTCTGTCTGACCTTCACCTTCTTTCTTGTAGGGAGCAGAAAACCAGAGCTTCCTTCTTAAAACTCTGAGAAACCCTGGTCCTACCTGTCAGGTGCTTTGAGCTGAATAGACTGAAATAGGAACTGTGGAAAAGCTGACCCCAGCTGATGGACAGAGAGTCCCCGTGGGAAGGGTGGCTTCAGTAGTACGGCCTGTCCTGCCTGTCGCCTGCCGGGTGGGTTGGGTGAGCTCGAGTAAGAGGATAACATGGCAGGAAGGGACCAGCAGGGAGCTGAGTGGAAAGACAGATGCTGCCCTCTCTGGAAGAGCCACCAGGTTTCCGGGCTGCTCAGCCGTCATGTTCGACCCTCATGTTCGAGGCCTCCAGTTCCGAGGCCATGCTCTGTGTCTCTGTGTAAGCCATTCCTGGCAGGGACATGTGTCACCTGCCTTCCCTTGCAGGCTGCCAGGGGCTGCCCGTGGATTGGAGTCCCTCGCCACCCCTTCCCCTTACCTGTGTGGCCGTTGTTGACCATGGGGAACTCGCCCTCCTGGGTCTCATAGCCCGTCAGCTTGAGCCCCTTCAAGGCGGGGTTGTACCGCACCTTCGTCCTCTGCAGGTTGATGGGCGACTGTCTCTGGCCCCCACAGGCGGGGTAGTGCTGTGGCCAGTGCGCTTCGTCCAGTGCTCCTTCTGAGACAGGAGAGAGACAGTTCAAGGGGCTGCCTGGCTGAGCCCACTCTGCAGGAACCTCACCGGGCCAGAGGCCAGGGCCCGCTGGGCAGGGACCCACGGCGGCACCTTCCAGAAAGCGGAAGCAGGGCCCCCAGAAGGAGGCCGAAAAGACAACGAGGTCAACTCCAAGGACTGTGGTGTTTGAGGGGCTTTGGTCCTAACCTCTAGCTTTCCTGTGGCGACTGCTGGCCCTGGGAGCAAGACAGCGTTTTGAAATCAATGAAAGTCTTTTTTTTTTTTTTTTTTTTTTTTTTTTGAGAC